CCCTGTGAGCTAAGTAAGCCCTTTAAACTTGCCAGAGGTAACTCAATTGCTGAAAGAAAGATGGCTATTTATCTCCAATAGCCAATTTCTACTCACAAGTGCCCTTTACACCAGCCTAGGAAGAATGACACTGCAAAGAATAAGTTTATGCTATAGGACACAGTCATTCCTGAATCCTTTTAGTATTCCATAAGTGAAGTCACCACTCAAGTATAAATGAGCCAGAGTTCTTTCTGTGGAAGGAAGGAAGGAAGGAAGGAAGGAAGGAAGGAAGGAAGGAAGGAAGGAAGGAAGGAAGGAAAGAAAGGAAGGTAAAGGAAAGAAAACAAAATAAAAGGAAAAAACAAAAACATGGCAACAACAGTTTGTGTGGTAGGGTCAAAAGGAATGCCCTCTATTTACACACTCCATATGCCCTTCTCCTGTTCCACTTACTCTACTGAGACATCAAATTAGATAAGCTACAAGACACCATGGGACATTTCAAAGTACCAAAGACCTGCATACCTAAGACCAGACCTAAAATGTCAAGATGGAGGCAGTGTCTCTCTCCCAGTAAACAGCGAGTAAAGAGAAAGGATGTTATTTGGAGGAAAGGAAAGAAGCAACACAAAGAATGGAGGGAGGAAGGGAGACAAAGAGCCAGTAAGGCATGGGCCTTACATATTTTTTAGTTTAAACTGCGCCACGTAGCATGCCTGTGAGCTCCTGATTCCTTTCTTCAAAATACCAATCCCCTCTCTGATCTTCTGTTGTTAAGCCCAATTGCATCATCCTCACCAAAGTTCTTGGCCCTCAACAGCAAGCATGCATTGTCAAGCAGGCAGGTATTAGATCCATTACAATGATAGAAAGTCAGATAACACAGGTCAGGGACTGAGGCTTTTGCAGTCATATGAAGGACAAAGATTCCTAAATAAACTTAAGTTATTCCTGTACAGATCTGAGGCTGAAAATACAAGTAGATAGGTAATTAGCTGTACAAGAATTAACTGCTGTGCTTCATATGACATAGGAGATGAGTGTGCATTACTTCCTTTGCTGCCAATTCTTACCAGCTCTCCCTAGCTATGGCCAGCAACTCCTGACTCAGAGTCCTTGGTTATTACCAACATATCAAAAGTTTACTATGCACCAAGTACAGCTCTAGTCATGCATCTTAAACCCACACCCCTTCAAAGTAAATATTAGCCCAAGTTTACATGTTAAAAACTAGACATAGAAAAGTTTGCCTTTCACGTCTAAGCTTCCCTGCCTGCCCATCCCATAGCCTGAGCTCTCAGCCACTGCAGCACATGGTCCTCTATCCAACACGTGTGTGTGTGTGTGTGTGTGTGTGTGTGTGTGTGTGTGTGTGTGTG